GATTAGGAAATTACACTTATCCAAATCCTAATAGACTTCTAGAAATCCAAACCTGAATTGAATAAGGAAAACTGAAATTCTTTCCTAATCCCTCTAGGACAAGAATTGGTATACCTCTAATTTTCCTAAAACAATCCTAAACCAACTAGGACATATTCGACGAGCCAAAATCCTAACACATCTCAATCAAAAGTCACCCTAAACAATTAAAATCACAAAACCACTCTCTCACTCAGGATTGAATCATTGCACAGACTGTGATAAACATAAGCCTGCGGCAATCCTAATATCTAGGATATTATGTTCAATTGTAATTTTAAAGGACAAAACATACACATTCAAGCAAGAACTCTACAGCATGCCTGCTCAATCAGGCCATACAATTTTCAGAACTTATGTACCAAGCATATTGAACTGGCAAAGTAAACCATATGTTTCCTAGACACCATATGCTTGAGAGTCAATCTAGATAAATGGGTTTTAAAACATGAATTATTTCAAGAAGATAAAAAGAAACCTTTCTTTCTAGTTGAACATAGGGAATTTAGGATAGAATTTAAGAACCTGTGACATATACAGAAAAGCTTCGCAGTCAAGAACTATATTTTTCATATACAGAAACCAAAGTTTAAGCCACATAGCTATGTCTCAGAGCATATGGTGAAAAAATTGACGTGAGCAGAACTTAGAGAGTACACAAAGAAGGGAAGATGGCACTTTATCAGTATGGTTGCTGGTTAATCATTCCCAATTTCTATTTTGACGAAACCTGATTAATCTTCACTTCTTTTTTCCTTGTGTTTTATCATTAATTTTTTTCTCCATATTTAGGATACAGCAACCAAAAGCAGATAAAAAAAAGAATTTTTTTTTTTTTTTTTTTTAAAGCACGCTTGGTCTTTGCTTTCCAGTGTGTTATCAGCAACCAAAACAGAAATTGGGAATGATTTCCATTTCTAAGATTTCTCCGAGAGAGCAAAGTCATTGAATCGACAATTGATTAAAAAAATAATAATAATAAGAACGATGGAAATACCTGAGCTAATCTGTGAGATTCAATCCCCTTCCTGATAGAACCCAATATGTTGTGAAATATAAATACCTCAGCTCCTCTTATATAGCATTAGGGATTACCCAAGAACCTGAAATCAAATTAACCAAATAAATGAACCCAAATTCGTAAAAAATAAATCAAAAATACCCTAAAGATAGAACATGGCTCACACCCACGCTCTACAAAGGACGAAAAAAATCCCAGCCAACAATCAAATTCATGAAATGAAGACCAAAAGATCTGTTAAAAAGTTGACGGGATGCATACCTGAAGACAAAGGATGCAAAAACTCGCAAGCAAGAAAGATGGAAGACGTCTGAGTCGAAGGCTGTAGAAACGATGAGAAATCTCCCGACCACAAATCTGTGAGACGAAGACTAAAAGTGCAGCTGGATTTGCAGCCCACCTCCCAAACGAAAATCGACGGCCCCCCACGCATGTCTAACAATGAATGCAGATCTTCCATAGCTGCTCCCCAACCAGCTGGTTCGAAATGGACTGAAAATGGACGCCTTCTCTGAGCGAACGAAACGTTCGCAGCGGAGGGAAAGGGGCAAAAAGGAAACAGAAGAAGATGTTTAGTTGAGGGCAGTTTCGTCAATTTACTGTTATGAAGAGAAAACAAAACAAAAACAATAGCAAAATGAGGGGCATTTCCGTCATTATACTGTGCTTAAGAACAATGTTTAGTTGGATTGTGAAACGACCTGACCCAATTTCCACTTTGGAATGCAAGTCGAAACCTGTTTAAAACTGACACCTGGTAACCGTGGGTCGTAAAAGACCAAAATGCCCTGAAAAACAGTAACACAAACTCTGGGGGCCTAACTCGTGGTTGCGCCTGACAACTGTTGGCTGCCTACGTACCCTTACTGAGAGATCAAGCCACACATAGTCTTTTCCTCTGTTCTTGACCTGCAACTGGTGCGTTATTTTGTAACTGGTTTAATTATCCGTAAAACATACTCTATGGCTGACATTTCTGGAGTATCCGGGACTCCGTTTTACGATCCGTCAAATACTATACGATCCTGGAAATACCTAGATCAACATACTTTTAATTGACTACGATCCAACGGTTCAAACGTATAGAACCCGGAAATCGCATACTAGGCGAGATCTGTTCGGGGTTCAAACGTTATCCGAATTAAGATCCGCGAAATCCTACGCGCCCTTGAGGATTGAGAGATTATTCTAGGACTGACTGTGGTCTCCACCCTACTGCTCACGCGCCGCCCACGCGCCGGCAGCGCGTGGTGCCTAAAGTGATAACGCTTCACCGAAAAATCACAACATCTCGGCTCAAGACTCCTATCCTAGGTAAAACACCCTATTTGGAACCACTTTTGTTCTTGGACCTACCCCAAAAACTGACCGGAAGTGGCCGAAACAGTGACCCGAAAGTCTGCTGAAACCTAACTTAAAAATCGAACTATCTACGCTTGAAATCTCTAAAATCCTACCCAACCAGCAGCTAGAGCATGAAAAATAGCTAGAAAACCATACCTCTCTCGTCCGATTTGGTGGCCGGAGGTGTCCGAACGAGCTCCGTGAAATTCCATCAAAAACTGTCTAAACCTCCCTGTTTCGTGGCGGTTTCCGGCGTCCACACCGGCGGATCAAGGCTGGAATGGGTTAAAACTGAAAGAGGGGAGTGAGGTGGTTCGTTTGGCACTGGTCTTGCTCAATTTTGTGGTTGGAGCTGAGAGAAACCATCTCCTAAAGTTGGCTGGTCGAACTGGAGGAGGAGAAGAAAACTGGGTTTATAAAATCTGAACTTCGAAATATTTACGGTTATGCCACTGAACTTCTTTTGATCGTAACTCCTTCGTTACAATTCCGATTTGAGTCCACTACATGTCTACGAACTCGTTTCGTCGCGCTCTGTGCAACAGTACAACTGAAATCCCCAAATTCCTTCCCGGTCAAAAAGTTAACTTTTAAACTAATAAAATATTCTAGGAGTATAAGTGTCTTTTACCAGAATAAATTAATAATTAAATATTAATTAAGGACCGGGTTGTTACAGATTGTATATAATTTCACAATTTCCTCAAACTTGATCCAAAGAGCCATGTAACCCAAGAAGAACTCATTCTCCTTACTTTTCTGGCTATACTCGCTTTCATAAGTTTTTGGCACTGTTTTTTTTTTTTTAATGAAAAGTTTGGTGAGTTTTTTTTTATGTAAGTTTTTGCATACTAGAAAATATGAATTCCCGCACTACGAAACTTGTGAAATGACGCCTATTTTGGTGGAAATTAAACTCAGGAATTTGATGCATCAATTTCCATGGTTTTTTCCACGCGTCATTTAATAAGTTCCGCGTTTAAGTTGCCAAACAAGAGAATTGTCAATTTCTCTTCTTCAATTCCCGATTTTTACCTAAATTCCGAATTATTTTCCCTCATCCAAACAGAGGGTAAAGTCATTTACAAAATTTGACGTTCATAAATCCAAATACTGAAATTTTCAATTGCCAGAAATTGAAATGATGGAAATCTAGCTTCCGTCATTTTAGAATTCTATGTAATTTTCAATTACTTCGTCCAAACAGAGGATGAAAGTAGAGTTTGATTGGCCCCTGGGCCGCTAAACATTTTGATTCGCAGAGACCACTTTGGAACTGTAAAACACATAATAAACTATGAATTGACCAAGTATCGAATTACAACAATAATCCTTCGATTACTTGTTACGGTGTAGAAAGGAAAATTTTATTGCGGGAACAAAAACCCCCCCAAGACCGTTCAAACTCGTTTCCTAGAAATTGAAATTCTGAAAAAATGCATATGGGAGACCAACAAAACTCATTCCACACATACGGCCTCAAGCAACTTTTTACTGGCTTCGCCCACCTCCAATTTCTCCATTTTCAACCGAGCACGCATTGAAGGTGTTGTTCTTCCAGCAGCAGCATAAGTTCTAATCAATGACTCAAACACCTCAACCCCTAGGGAATCTACAGACTTCTTCAAAATCTCCAGGAAACCTTCTGCCCCATCAACATCCTTCTCTTGCTCAAAATGCTCCATCAAGGTTTTGACAATCTTACGTGATGGACTCCACTTCCCACCATCCCCTCTACCAATGGATGTCGCATTGGCAACACAATCAACAGCCAACTGATATTCTCCAGTCTCCAAATAATAATCCAGAAAGATCTCCCAAGTTTTTGCATTAGGCTTGGCTCCTCTCCTACGGGCCTGCTCCTTGAGCTCCTTAGCCTTCTCTAGCATACCCTCTTTAGCATAAGCTCCAATCAAAACATTTGCTACTCGAATATCATAGGTTGAGCACCGCGATTCCCATTCCCTGAAACATTTCTCTGCACCTGGTAGATCATTCAAGTTAACCAAAACCTGGATCATATTCAGATAACTTATATTTGCAGTTTTAGGGAAAGCCAGCCTCAAGGAACGCCATACCCGATAAACTTCACGCAGATTCCCCGTTTTACCGTACAATGTAATAAGGAATTGGTAAGCCAAAAGATCTCGGCGTGCATTTTTTTTCTCCAATTCATTAAGTGTCTTTTCTGCCTTCTCAAACATGCCAGCCTCAACATAAATCGAAGCTAAGTTGCTATACGTGGTCCAATCACTGGAAACTCGACCATCCCTCTTCATCTCATCAATAACCCTTTCAACCCCAGAAATATCATTGACAGCAGCAAGAGCACGCATCCAGACATTGTAAGAACAGGAATCGAGCATGACACCGCCAGCCTTCATTTCTTGAATGATGGCTGGGATCTTTTCTGGATGCCCAGTTTTTGAGTAAAGGGTCATAAGGCTGTTATAAGGCATGGAGGTTAAAGAAAGGTTAAGTGCCTTCATCTTTTCCATGAGTGCTTCAGCTTTTTCGGTCATCAATTCCTTACAGTAACAATTGAGCAGGGCACCATATGAGTGATGGGTCTTTGCTGCTTCAGGAAGATCAATGAAATAATTTTCTGCGCTATAAGATCAAGATGTATTGCCTGATCACTGACTGTCTTGTTCATTCCTCTTCTATCCATAGCCTCCGAGAGCTGTAATGTGAAACACACTTAGCATCTATCTCTTCCAGTTCAGATTAGAAACAGGGAAAACAAGGAAACATAACATTTAACATACGAAACTGTTACAGGATTAAGCTTCAATTTATAGTAATATCAACCTACTTCCTCCCATATACCATACAACCTTCCGAAAAGAAAAATATGGTAAAAAAGCCAACAAGAGGTACTTGTCTGAATAAATTCGAAGTGGCAACAATCGAGAATAATTTACAACAAAATAAAATGTTATATAAAGAATTGACAAATACACACATGGGTAAGCTGACATTGGCGATTAGACAAATATTCTTACATTCTAACCTCAAGACAGAGAGAAAGATCTCACATTTCTTGAAAAATACTATCCAATTTACAAATGACACTTCCAACCATTTTATTAAATTGTGAAAACCATACACATTAAAGAATAATCAATCACATAAGCTCTGCATAAATCTACCTCTACTTTCCAGAATATGTGAATTACCCAAGTTCTACAAATCAAGTAGCTAGAAACAATGCTATCTAAATTCATAATTTGAGGAACTTTTGTGAAGAACAAAAAACGTGGCAAATCATAACCAGTAAAAACTTTAGAACTTGGAATTGCGGACCTTGAGAGCGGGGTAGTAGAGCTTGCGTTCGCGAAGCTTCTTGAGGGTGTCGCCGACCTCCCATTTGTAAACTCGCTTGCGACTCTTGAGGACTTCGTTGAGCTGCTGACGAACGCTCACCTCGGAGCCACCATCCTTGAACAGCCTCAAGTACAGAGCTTGCTCCACATACTTAGTCGACCGCTTCGTCACGCTCTTAGTGCGCCCAAACTGTTGCAGCGCCATTGGACCTCTGAAATTAGGGTTTTGCGAGAGCGAGGAGAGTGACAGTGAGGGGTTTTGCTGAACAAGAAAATGAAAATGAATCGGGAAGTTAATTTTGGGCTTGGATTGTAATTTGGGCCTCCCACGTGGTGGACTAAGTAGGAGCAATTTTGGGCCGTACTGTTGTATTCTCTAGAATCATTGACTTGAGACGACGACGTTCTGGAAATTGGATTAGCAATTTTTTAATCATGAATTGCGTCACATGATTAACGTGGTAAATGAGGCGCTGGAAGTTTCTAGGATAAAGTGGATTCTTCTTCTCTGGCAACTCTTTACTTTCCGACTTTCAGATTTGAAGCGGGACTTTCACGCGGCCCGCGTATCACAAAAGCAGACCCGCCGTCGCTTTCCCCGTATCTGTTTCTGGTAATTCAAATTTTAAATTTTGCGACCCAAAAAAAAAAAAGAAAAAGAAATTATTAGCTGCTCAATCTCTCTCGATAAAGGAGGACCGCTCAAGTATAATTTCCCCTCCTACTCATAAATACAACTTCTCGTAACTCGTGGCTCTGATTTGGTTGGTTGGTGAGAGGAAAAAATATATTAAAAACTGAATTTTCATATTGATGGTAAGATTTTATCACAGTAATTTAGATTTAGTAAATAATGCTAATTTCATATACGATGGAATTAAGTTGTATTTAAATATTGAACACAATAGCGAAACACCATCAGAAGATCCTAACACTCGAATGCCGAACACAAAATTTAATCAATAAATCATAATTTCATGAACTCGAGTCATGTTATTCATCTTTAAATTTTGTGGTATAAGGCTTTGATTTAAGGGGGATAATGAATTTTTTGTTTTGTTTTAAACAATCCAATCCAAAATTTTAGTTTAACTGCCAAACACGAAATTAGACTAATACCTTTTTGGGCAGTCTCATGGGTTATCAAACCAAACAAACAATAGCCAGATGTATTGGTGCAACGCTCCAACGAAAACGAAACTTTAAAAATGATTTTAATTATTTGATTGATGATACGTGAAGAACGATATTAACTTATAATCGGTCGATAAACAAACCAAATCATGATTCACAGCAAGTTTTGGTGGCGTATGCATCAAATGATCCAAATCGGTTCCCTTTTGGAAAACAAACAACAGCGCCGGTGTGACAGATGGCTCATCCCCCACCACCAACGTCTCTCACGTCTGCTCTGCTGGCCGCAGGGCCCAACTCGGTTTATTTATTTATCTAAAATACAGTCATAGCCAGCAATAGGCCTAGCCAGCAATGAATTTGCATGTGCACCAAACCATTACTTTACTCTTTCGAAAACCCCACCACGTTTAAGATAAGACGTGCAACATACGTCCCAGTTATTCCGTCAAAATTGCAAGTCAAAACTTGGTCGGTATGTAAAGAGGTTAAGAGAAGTTAGGCTATCTTCAATCATAGGGCTAAATGTAGTTCAGGATTAAAAATTTAGTCCCTCAAAATATTAATTTTTAAAAAAATAGTACATGACTAAATTTTTCCATCTCCAGTCATGCAGGGCTATATTTTAAAGTCCCTCATATTTTATTATTTTGAGAATGCTTTAAATAAAGCAAGTCGGGGAGTGCTTTAATATTTGGTGATTGAAAAGTATATAGTGGGGTCCACTATGAATTTAGCCCGATTGGAGGGCTAAAGAGCCAAATGTAGCCCTCCAAATTTGGCCAAAATTTTATTTAGCTCATAGCTGGAGATGAGTTTTGCATTAATTTAAGGTTATATTTGGGATATAGCTCATGACTGGAGATGGCCTTAGTAGCTAGCAAATGCGTACGTGCGTGGGCAACAATAATCATAAATAGTCAATGCCAAATTGAATCCTTCAATCAATCAAATATCCTTTGCTGCAAAAAGTGGTTGCCCAAATGCCCATACTCTAGGCCATCATAAATACTAATAGAACCATCAAGATCAATATGAAACGAGTTTCTCATGTGTTGTCCACTTTACGTTTTACGTTTCGAAAGCGCGTTGATTCAAAATAAGGGTCTTTTTTGGGTATTGAATTAAAGACGACATTAATGTTATTAGATTATACGGTTTATGGTTGGTCCGCTCTGTGAGAGAGAGAGATAGAGAGAGAGAGAGAGAGAGAGAGAGAGAGGGGCACCTTTCAACTTTGGGAGTTAGATAAATAGAATAGGGCTTCTAATTTCCTATCCAGCCTTTAGCTCCAGTGCGCACACATACAGAGTCACACTTGGACCTCAATAGAAACGCCTATAATTTTGTTGTACATAATTGTAGGGTAAGTTACAACAAAAGACCTTATCTAAAAATCAGAATCTTTATTATTAGATATTACCTGTTTTATTTATTTTTACCTATATCAGAGGAGCAAATGTTGCTGTCACTTAGAGGGCTCCACCTGGATTTTTATAATTTCTTGGAGCGAGTTTCTCTAGGACACGTTGCACCAGTCCAAACCAAACAAGGCCTCCCCCTCTCTCTCTCTCTCTCTCTCTCTCCCCTACAAGCTTTTGCTTTTTCTGGCCTCTCTTGCTGTCTGCCTCCAAACGACAAAATAAGGAATGAAACAGTAAGGCTTTTTGATTGGCTGTGGGTCTTGTGACTCGCGTGAGACGAATATAGTTGGGAAACGAGACAATTGTGGTGGCAATTTGGCAAAGGGGAAGGAAGCCAAAACCCATTTTTCCCAAGACCTCAAGCATAGAAAAATTAGTCCTTTCCTGTTTTTCCTTTTCTTTTTTCCCATTCGTTGGATAACAAAACAAAGGCCCGCGGAGTTCCATAGACCTTGTTTTGGGATTTTTCCCCTTCTATTGATTTTTCATAGAAGGGGGCTTCAAGCTATTTAAAAAAGCTTGAGGCTTTCATTCTGCAGAAGAAGGAGCCTTCTTGGTTGTTTTTGTTTTCTGGGTTGGAGAAGAAGAAGGCTCTGTTTTTGGAGGAACAAGAAGAAGCAGCAAAAACGGATAAATGTTTTCCAGTTTGGACAAAATGATTAGATTATGGATAGCTGCACTGCAGTTTTCGGAGCTGATTGTGAGCAGTATCGTTCATATGCTCTATGGGTTTTACATATTCAGCACAGCTGTGGCTGGTGATCTATCGCAGGCTTTGAATGAATTGCTCTCTAAGCCTAACATGAACATTGAGGTGAAAGAGGAGGTGGTGCCTAGAGACACATCAACCAATGAAACTCTACCTCCTATAGTTTTGGTTCATGGAATATTTGGATTTGGCAAAGGGGTATGTTGCTTTTTTTCTCAAATGGGTTTTGATTCCTTAACCAAGTGGAGCATTTTGGGTTTTCTAATCGATTTTGTTCCCTTTTTGTGTAACTGGGTTTTTCATTTCCTCTGTTTTTCAGAGATTGGGAGCTTTATCGTATTTCGCCGGGGCAGAGAAGAAAGACGAAAGGGTTCTCGTGCCTGATTTGGGATCTCTAACCAGCATTTATGATAGGTTTGTGCTCGGAGCCTCAAAGACTTTTCCTTTGAAATTCATCCATGGCTTTTCTTTTATCCAATATTAGCCAGGTTTTATGGGGGTTTTGGGGTTTCAGGGCTTGTGAATTGTTCTATTATTTGAAGGGTGGGAGAGTCGATTATGGTGAAGAACACAGCAAGGCTTGTGGGCATTCACAGTTCGGTCGTCTTTATGAGCAAGGTTCTGGCTTTCCCCATTCATTTTTTCCCTTCTGTTATTTGATGAAAATTGTTTGTGTTGTAAGCCTCATAGTCATAGCAAGTGTCTCATGGTTTGTTGTAACTGGGATGCAGGGCACTACCCTGAATGGGATGAGGACCATCCTATTCACTTTGTTGGGCATTCCGCCGGAGCACAGGTCGTTCGTGTGTTGCAGCAAATGCTTGCTGATAAGGTTAGTCCAAATTGCATCACCAAATTAATGAAGAAGCTATGAAATTGGTTTAGACAGTAGTTTTGAATATTGACTGAAATGTTTCCTTTTGTTTTCAGGCTTTCAAGGGGTATGAGAGCACCAATGAGAATTGGGTATTAAGCTTAACATCATTGTCGGGAGCATTCAATGGGACAACAAGAACCTACTTGGATGGGATGCAGTGAGTTTCATTTGAGCTTATTCTAGATGTTCAAAACTGTGTAGCTATATTATTGCAAATTTTAACTGTGACGGATGCAATGCTTGATAAGACACTTGGGTGGTCAAAAGAGCTAATTAGATAGAAACTTCTATCTGACCTCATATTTTTTTGTCTTTGTTTTATGTTTATAATAAGCCATAATAGCATATGCAACAGAAAAGTGGAAACGAAGTAACCAAAAACTTAAATTACATTAACTTATATCATTCTGAAGAGGCAAACACACATCATCTTTGGAGTTTATTGTGTCATAAGCCAACCAGTCGCATGCTACAAGAGTTGAATTGTGAAATTGTACTTGATATTTTCGGATTTAAAAAATATAAACTTTTGTTATTCAACAGAAAGACTTTTGAGTGCGAAAATACTTACTGTGGTTTCCGTATGTCTCAGGCCAGAAGATGGAAGAACCATGAAACCTATATGTCTGCTGCAGTTATGCCGCATAGGAGTGATCATTTATGATTGGCTTGACATTCCCTGGCTGAAGGCTTATTACAACTTTGGGTTTGATCACTTTAACATCTCATGGAGGAAAGTGGGTGTTTGGGGTCTTGTTGATTGCCTGTTGGGAAACTCAGGCCCGTTCGCTTCGGATGATTGGATCCTCCCGGACCTTACAATTCAAGGGTCTTTAAGGCTCAACAGCCATCTACATTCCTTTCCCAACACATACTACTTCAGCTATGCCACTAAGCGCACAAAGAAGATATTGGGTGTCACAGTACCTTCTAGCATATTTGGAATTCACCCATTGCTCTTCATTAGAGTATTGCAGATGAGCCAATGGCGTCACCCTCCTGATGTCTCTTCCCCCTATAAAGGCTACAGGTGTGTTTTTAAGTGCATATTATGCTTTGGTTTTCTAAGCATCAGTAGTTTCACCACAATCCATATTTTGCATGTGGTTACTCAAGCCTTGTGTGAATAATGT